TTCAAGTCAATTTTCCTCCGATGTAATTCAGTTTTCTTTTTTAAAAAACAACGCGTCATTAGGGTTTTTGAATTGTATTGTGACTGATTGTTTTCATCATTTTCTACTGAATGTATTGTATTTGTTGATGTGTCGTCATCGAATGAATCTGATTGTGTTTTTTAGTTGAATAAAATCAGTTTAAAGATACCAAATGCATACGTCCGCTCATCAGCGAATCGTTTCAAAGGGAAGGGTTCGAAGTAATATTTTATTGCTTGAATAAATTCTTCACTTACTGACATGTGGATGATTAACATTTCGATGATACGTTGCTCAACGAGGGTTTATAAAGCTAACTGAAACGTAAATTCGTTCATATTGTCAGTTCAAATGAGTGAATACGTCTGCATTCATAGGCAGCATAAAGCCATGAGAATTTTCCCACGTTTTCAGTGAGTATTTGCAACTTTTTTCTAATATCAGATTAAATTAAACTCACAGGAAAATAAACGAGCAAAAAACATTGAGCAACGCAGCATTTCGAGCGGTCAGTCGTTGTTTCTAAGCCAAGTGTTTAGTGAATCATATGAAATTTTCAACGGGTGGCAAGCAACTTGTTGTTATTGAGAAGATAATCAACTGACACAGTACGCAGTGGATGTCAATCGCTTGCAATCATCTTAGGGGTAATATTAATGATGCAGGGTATCTCGAATTCAATACGCAAACAAATAATACTTCGAGTGTATAATTCAGAATTTATCGTCGTCCAAATCTTCTTCAACATCAGCTGTTGGTACCAATTTCTCTTTCTTTTGCTGTTCATATTCACATGGTTTCAACTGCATAAATGACAGCTCAAGATTTCGATCAACCTAAACAATTAATTACATTCATTCAGTTTCAGCCTAATCCATGCCATATGAATTGATCTGCCTAAGATATGTCTAAGTTTGGCCTTTTGCGAACGATTACTGCAGATGAAACACTCACCAAAACGACAGCAGCAAAATTGCACAGATCTTCGTGATAGCGAGACGCTGAGAATACGGTGATTAGCTGGCGATTTGCGAAAAATGCATATCCAAATTCAACTACCTGAATCAAAAAGTTTCCTCGTTGCTGCTATTTTACTCATGAAATCAACTCTGAAGTGTGCTAATTGTAAGCATAAATACGTTTTCAAACGCATCCAAAGTCATTTTCATACTCATTG